ACTCTCTTTGTGCTGAGGTATCGCGTGGAGACGATGTTGGTTCGAAACGAAAATGCATGGACATCCGAGCGCTTAACCAATCGAGAAGCTTCGTTTTGAGCAAAATTACACGTTTCTCGAATGTCGCCTTCGTAACGATGTTGGCCGGTGCCTGGTGCGAGCTGTTTAGAATCGAGACGTTCATTTCGTTCTACGGATACTTTGAACTCGTGCACGGTCGTCTTCTATTAAAGACGGCCGTGACTCGTGTCATTTCCATCCCGTCCGCCCGCACTGCGACGGGCTTCTCGTTTCGCGAAATTGCGACGCGGATTCGAATGCCGTGGACGCGTGGTCGTCTTTCGTTCTCGCGCATACTTCTCGATCGATTTGTCGACTTTGGAAAATACTCTCGCTCGCTGCGCATCGATCACTCCCTCCCTACGTTCCCCTCGATACTCCTTAAATATTCTTCCTCTCTCTCTCTCTCTCTCTTTCTCTCTTTCTCTCACACTAATTTAACAACATTTTTCACACTCACTACCGAACGAACGAACGTATTCATTTCGGTCCCCCGACGTGCTTCCAGTCTACTTTTTTTTCCCCTATAATTTAAAAGTGATTTACCTAAATATGTGCGAACAGTCACATTCTCGTGTGCACTACATTTGCGTATATATATTTATATATATATAGTATGTATATATATATGTATATATTATTTCGCAGTAGGTACTGTTATTTTTTTTTCTCGTTTTAACGAATACAATCGCTCTGTATAAAACTCGTATTTACAAGATGATCGATTTGTATAGTATTTAATAGGTTTCTCTTTCTCTCTGTTCTCTATTTTTTTTTTTCATTATTTTTTGTTTCTTTCTTTAATGCTCCGGTTTCATCCCGTTTATTATTTATCCTCGTTCAAATATCGGCGCGCGCGCGCGCGTCGACGACGCCCGCCGGTAATAATTGATTGAACGATATCGTTTCATTCCGGTAATATAATACGCGGTAATTAATTTATATCTATATTTATACATATACGTGAGTGACCGCCGACAACGCGAATCATTTGTCACCGTCCCGTTTCGTCTTTCATCCTGCCAGAGGACAAAGAGATCGTCGTAAATATCTTTTTTTCCATTCTTAAAACGTTTATATATATAATATATATAATAGTATCAATAATAATTCATAATAATAATAATCATAATAGCAATAATAATTAATAATAATAATTGACCGTGGTCGGTTCGGAGGAACTGGCGCGCGATTTTCAAGGCACGTACTAACACGTGCGTCGATTTGTTCGAACGGTGACGTTATACCGCGGAATTTTTAATAATCTTGTTCATTCCGTTAACTTTTCAATTAGGCATCGCGCAGTCGAAGAGCAGAATCGCCAGGAACGTTTCAAGCGTCGTCGAGTCGACGTTTCGCGTGCCAGTCGTCGCAAGTGAATCAGACGGTGAAGGAAACGTTCCTCGGGTGAACTTTCGAAAATATAAATATATGCGTAGGTATAATGTACGTGTAAAATTTACACTGTGAATGTCGTACGCACGAGTTTTGACTCGCCCTATACGCGGGTGGGGGGGAGGTGGGGGGGGCTCCTCCTATACTTGCCGCTTGGAACGTATTTTGCCGCGTTTCCGTTCTTCGACCGCGCGTTCACTCTCCGTACCGAATAAACCTATGTGGTGTTACATATTAGCACGTAATATCGTTTCATGCTGAGATAGAGACAGGAAATGTTCGAGCGTATATATGTACATGATTTTACCGTAGACTAGTCCTTCGATCATGCCTCTCTATATATATATTACAGTTTCCCTCGTCGTCGTTCCGGCATGCACATGTGGTGAAATCGTCTAATTGTCCGTTCGTCGCGATAGAAATAAATGAAACGATCATCGAAAGAGAAAAATGTGCCCCGTCTTTGTTCTATCAGTATAATTCGCTTCTAGCTTAGCCTAACTACCTATTATACATAGTTTGCTAGCTACGGAAGAGCTCCTCACCCTCGACACCACCCCCGTGTACTTTAGACGCGCGCCAGTTTCTCGTGCAACACGCGACACACACGGCTCGTAGATTCAACGTAAACAATAGGCACACGTACATAACGTACATACGTACAAACACGTGGGTATGCATGAATGCATACGCAATACGCGATATACGTATGAATAAATGCATGTAGACACTATAGAATATATCACAACGATAAAACTCTAGTCCCTTTCCCTCGCTCTGTTCCTCCTTTTCCCGCTATAATAGAGACTCCAAGTAGATAACGGATATACAATTATATATAAACTGCGTAGTAATGCTTCCGGTGGGGCGGACGTGGAAGTATCGTCGATATTACTTACAATTACATCGTAATACGTGCAGAACGAAGAGACGGACGAGGGCTAACGAATGATTAATTCGCGACCGGTGACACCGCGCCGACCGAATCGATTGCCCCTTTTTTCCTTTTCGTCTCCCGAGTGCGTGCAGCGTCTCCCTTTCCTCTGACTTACTTCCTTCCTTCCTCGCGAACGACCTAAATTGAACGCTGCTCCATTCACGGTTACTCTATCTTTGACTCGAAATAATAAGCGCGCTACTGTAACGCGTCGATAACAACGGCGCGGCGGGGTTAATTAAGGGGCATTCGTTATCCTATCGAGTCACGGACGGGCGCGGCGCGGTGTGCGACGGGACGCGACTAAACATGGACTACCCTCGGCCACTTCTTCCATATATTCGCGGAGGATGGCGACCAAGGAGATCCTCGAGCAAGATTACCTACTTTTATAAAGAATTCTCGTAGAGTACCGAGGCAAGAAGCTCCTTATTAAATGCACAATGAGCAAGAGCGTCTGGCAAACGGACTGTTTGGCGATTGTAGAGAGGAGCGACGGAGAGCGCTCCAGAAGATGAGGGAAGGGTGAAGACGAAAAACGAACCCGGAGAGAATCAACGAGAGGAGCCGAGACGAAGAGCAGGGAAAAGAGAGTGAGAGAGATGGGAGAGTAGATGTAGAGTACGGAGGGTGGGTTGGGCGTTGTCAGCTGGTCGATATCCTGAATGGCAAGCTTCCACGACCCAGTCTGCAACCAGCAACCACGCTGGAAGAGACCAGGGGGAGGGGGGGCGAGAGAAAGAGAGACAACGATATCGAAAGAGAGAGGGACAGCGGCGGAGAATGGATCTCGGGGCAGGAAAGAGAGAATGCGAGACGCGCGTACGTTGGTATGCGTGTATTCTCGGCGGGAATCAAGAAGATTCCGGTCGACGTGTGAGTGAATCTGGCGCTCGCGGGTGTGGCGTGCTCGCGCACGCGACTGTACGTATGAACGCGCATTCCCGCACACAGAGAGAAGGTCGGATAGGAAAAACGCGGGCAGGTAGACAGGCAGGTAGGCGGCAGGCAGTACGGAGTTTCCAAAAGACGAAAGTAGAACGGCATACAATTGACGTTAATTAACTCAGCAAAAACGCACCGACGGAACAGCTGCCGGGGAAAAACGAAGGGCCTCTCCATGGAAGGACCGCGCCTCGGTTGTGTACGTGTGTTCGACTCGGCGGTAAAACTAATCTGCGCGCGAGGATAAATGTGATCACAGCTCGCTTTCTCGCGTACACTTTACGCGCCGCGCGAAACATCGCTGTTCTTGTGATCTCGTCTGTTCTTTTAACTCGATAGGATGTCGCAATAGGAAAGAAGAGCGCTCGCTTTATGTTCACGGTTAAGGGATTACTCGTCATACAGTGATGTATAATACAACTAACGAGAACTGTTAGAAGAAAGACGGCTCGAAGCGGTTTTTCTTTCTCCACCTTCCTTCTTGACGTTCACAGTTTGCTCTTTCGCGTCGCATCTCTCTACTGTTCTCCGTTATGCTTTCTTCGGCGAAGACGTTTTTCTTTTTTTGATCGTTTCTCGCGTGCCACTAAACGGAGAAGACGGCTGTTTGATTTCGTTTGATCACGGTGCGCTTCTTTCGGTGTTAACGTGAAACAACGAGGAGGAATAAAAGCTGAAAAGCGCGGCTCGGGGCTCGCGTCCAATTTTCGAAACCGGCTATCTCCTTGGCTCGCCGTCCACCGCCTCGCGCTTCGGATTTGGAATGAACTCTTACGTCCGAATCTAATGCATACGTCCCGGGAGTGTCTCTACGTAAACATTTCTCGCGGCTACGTAGTGGTGGTACGAGCTAAAAAGTTACTTCCCGATTGAGCGACGTACACGAACACGTACAGGGTCGCGCGTCGCGACGATTCCACGGAAGTTACACGATTCCGAGGGAGGATCGCGCTGATAGAAGTGACGGAAATACAAAAGTCGCTTCGTCCGACGAGTTTCTATAAATGGTAAAAAAGTGGTATAAAATGAAACGGACACACATAACGTTCGTGGCAATAAAAAAGATGTTCGAGAAAACAGCTCTACCTCGAAATGATGCGACTCACGTCGAAACAGTTGTTCGCCCCGCGCGCCTCCGATCGGGCGCGCCCACGGCCCGCGCCGCGGATGCTGAAGGATTCTCCTCGCGATCGATCCTCCTCGCTAGGCTCGGGAGAACCGGACCGCGGAGGATCGATCGTGCGGTGTGGTCTCATCGCGAGGGACGCCTCGCGTGTAGTCGACGCACGGATAATCGTGTACGTGTGTCTGCACGTAATTGTCCTAATATATGCATGTGCGTCACACACACACGCACGCTCGCACGCATATAGTCGGACGCGGTCTCGCACATGTACCAGACTCACGCGATTATTCGTTCGAACACACACTTAAACACTCGAGCGCCATTCGAACAGCGATCATTGAATTCTCGATCGACTCGACTCGTTCTTAGAATTTCTCGTTTTCCGTCGGCCTCGTCTCAATTCGTCGGCCTCAAGCTTGGTATCAGCGTTCTTCCTTATATTTAATTAATTTTACTATGTATATATATATATATATATTTATATATATGTATATAGATGTATGTATATAATAGTGGCTAAATTGACAAGTGTTTATATCGAAGGTATTCTCGTCTTCCTTTTTTTTTTTTTTTAAAGATCTAGGTACCTAAACTGGCAATGTTTAAGGTATGCACGTCCGTGGATTCTCCGTTAGCTTGAATATCCTTACTTCTTTTGTATCGTTTTTTCGTTTATTAATTTCTTTATTTTGTTCTCTAACAACGTTCGTCTGTTCTTCACTAATGTTCGCGCGTATCAAACACGGGGACGAGAGTCGGCGAAGGGTCGCGTTGAATCGAGGAACACGTCTCAACGTTGGGTCTGTGCGTCACGCAGTGAGTAATAACAGCATGGGTTTAGCGAGCGGTCTGACCATCGATTGTCTCCGTCTACTGCTCGAAAGAAGCGCGGCTCCTCCTTATCCCCGTGACACTTCCCGTTTCACATTTAACCCAGCAACTTCGATCGTTGACTCGTTCCCTCCGTACCATTCGCTTCCATTTATCTTCCGTTCGTCGATGCAACGAGCCTACGTCATCTCGCCTATCAATCACTGCATCATCCCGAGTTAATCACAGCATTATTTTAGTGCGTCCCACACCGGCGGGACATCGATCCTCGATCAATCTTCTTAGTCCCATTTGCGAACTGGCCTCACCCCCCTTTATCAGTACTTTGTCTGTCTTTAAACGCACGTTCCGTCGCGTTCTCTTCGCTTATTTCGCCTCCTCGAGGAGCACCAGATCGTCCGCCACAACGTCGCTGATGTGCAAATAGATGATCCAGTACATGAGGTTGAAACAGACGAAACATACAGGGAACACGATGCGGGAATATTTGTCGATATCCGACGGCGTCATACCTGGCAAGAGAGAACAATCTATGCGTTACACTGCATCGGTGAATTATCTATATAAATTCGAGTTTGTTAACAACAGGTGTAGATGTATTTTTATGTTTATTACATTGCTGCCTTATTTCTTACCGGAGGGCATTTCTACCATTGACACTGGAGGAAAGAGTGCTTGAATTCGATTAAACATTATAATTACCTAATATTTATCATGTATTATAAATCGCGCATCCTTCGAGTCGATTTCTTTATATTTTTTATGATTCACACGTACTAAGCTTGAAGCTTTAGTTAACCCTTTCATTGCGGCGCGACTTCGGAGTAGTCCATCCATAGGGACGCCCGTCGTATATATCGATGGACTCCGAAGGGCGTATATATACGCCCGTCGTATATATCGATAGACTCCGAAGGGCGTATATATACGCCCGTCGTAGTGAAAGGGTTAGAAGAAAAAAATTCTTATTACTACTTATGATGATTCAATTTACGATTCAAAGAAAGTGTAAGAATATGGAGTTAAAGAAGATGAAGGATATTTGGTCGTACCGTAAAGTTTGCTGATATCCTTGCCAGGGTGAATGAGATGTTGCGGCGCTGGCGCTGCTTCCTCGTCGGCCCGACCGTTTATGGTGTTCTCGAGCGTCCCACCTTTGCTGTGTGCCTTCGGGTCGTGCACCTTGAACCGCACCTCCTGGACAACACGGGACCACTTACAAGAGACACGGCAGTTCGGCATGGGGTGTCCCTTCTCGAGGAGAACCCCTTACTCCGATAAACTGGCATGCGACACCGAGGGTAGACGATAAACGCGCATTTTTTTAATATAACTTCGACACCCAACTATCCCATAAATTTTAGTCCTCGAGCCTAACGGACTCACCTGATGTTTAAGTATTTGTAGAAATACTTCGTATTTAACATTCTCATTCGGAACGGATCGGAGTTTCGAGGCGCAGTAAAGTTCGACGACCGAGATTAGACGTTACAAGGCTGTTTTCAGGTTAATGCGCGCGTCATGGCCGCGTTTAATCACGTTTGAAAGTCGGAAACCGGGAGGAAGACACCGGGCAACGACGCCCGTGCTTTTATCTACGTGTCATTTTCATTAAAGCGTCTCTGTCGCACGCTCTCTCCTCGCAACGGCATACCCCCCCCCTGAAACCGTAAAGCGGGCCGATGAAATGAGCCGTGCGACGTAGGGAGTTCACGTTTATGCCGCGGACACCGTGTACACCGTGTCAAAGAAGAAGTAATTAATCCAGTTCGGAATTAATTAAAACGCCTTATACTGGAGAGATTTTACGCGCGACGCTGCGCGCCGTCCATCGGTCGACGCCGCCTTTCTTCTGTCCACCCGTCCGTCTCGAATCTCCCCCCTCGCCCCGTTTAATATTTTTCGTTCCCGTTTCACAATCCTCGAGATTAAAAGAAAATTTATAGTGCATCGCGTATTCGCGCACGGAGCGCGCCGCCGCGCCGCGCGACGCGACCGAATGGGAATTCATTTCGCAGAACCTTTTAGCTTTTGACCTTTCGTTCGGTTCGTTTTTTGAATGAAAAAAAAATTTTTTTTTCGTCGGGAAATGGGGAGAATCGAACGGTGAATCCCTTGCGCGACATCACGAACAACTTGATGTAACAGAAACGAGTCTACTACGTCAACCGCGAAATTCGTGAAGAAGTAGTGAGAGATGAAGGTAAATCGCTGATAAAAAGCTTGATGAGTGAAAACGGTATGATGGATCCAATGTGAATGTGATCGATAATGTTCTACTGCGGGTAGAAACACTTCGTTTTCGAGCTAGGATGTATTGGCTATACAGTCAATCCCAAAAGTTTATGTACCTTAGAAAAACGAATTTCCTATAACCAAAAATAAATCAGATGACGGAGGAACAATGATTTTGTATAAAAAGAGTTTATTTGTTAACGTTCAGTTGGTTTTTAAACAATAAAGA